ATGTCTCTTTTTAGAGAAGATCTAGTTGGAGGCTTGTCTTCCAAAGCTGAATGGTAAGGTGCATTATCCATTATTATAATACTATTAGGAGGAATGTTAGGAAATAGTTTTTCAGTAAGCCACTTCGTGAAATTTTCTTGGTTCATTTGACCGTGATAATCACCAGTGGCACAGCCAGCCTTGAAAATGAGACAGGCTCCAGGAACAAAACCATCTTGCGAACCCGCATGAACAATTATAAGTCGTCCTGGAAATGAATAAATAGCCTCATTTTAGTGTTATTTTAAGTTTGCCAACACCTTTTTGAATCACTATGTATAAAAAACATATTTTTGAGAAAAAAATACTTGCAAGGGATTATGTATTCAATTAGACAAATTAAATGAGCACTTATTAAGAATATTCCAAAATTGAGAAAAATGTATAATAAGCAAAATCGAGGTGAAAGAAACTTTATTACCTGTAGAACTTATATTGCTCAGGACACCCATAATTTCTTCGCTTTGCCAGCATTTCTTGAAAGTGAGGTCATTATCAACCCAAGTTTCGTCCAAATAAATAATATGCCTTCCTTCTTCCCGGAACTTTTTAATAGACCTAAGATACTTGTATCGCCAATGTAAAATACTGGGTCTTTCCATTAGTAATTTCCTTTTGTTGTGGCATTTACGCCAGTAAAATCCTTTTGCTTTTAAAAGCAGCCTCAACGATTCTTTACCAAATGGAAATTCCATTTCTTCCTTCAGTTTGATTAGAAGTTTACTACAAGTAGGTACCACTTTAAAATCACAGTAAAATTTTTCTATCATTCTCCGAATAATGGAAAAATCGACTCCATCAATTTTTTGGATCACAGAAGGGCGTGATCTCTTTTTTCCGGGAGAAGCTAAAGGCTGTGTGGAGGTTGCATTTTGCCTGTCTTTATCTTCTTTTCTAATTTTACTTATAGTTCGTTCACTAACACCCGTATAATATGCCGCCCTTGCATTTCTAGCTACCAGTGGATAAACGAAAGTATTGTTAGCCGCTTCTGCATCGCAAGCACGTATCACGTTTGCTATTATTTCCCTTGCCTGGCTGTGAATAACTTTCCCATGCTTGAATTCCATTATCACCACTAAACAGTAAATTATATTTTCAAAGTATTTGCCAACTGCCTACGCCTATGGGAGTAGGTTTATAAATGACCGTGCCATCGGCACGTTATTCTAGTTTCAGATAAGATAAGAGTTTTGGACCAATCAGCGACCGGATGTTTACCTGCGGCCTGGGTTTTCCAGCTACATTGCCAAATTCAGCGGAACAATTCTATATCTTAAATATGTTAATATGTATGGACCGCATTTTATGTAGAACATCTGACAACTTCGCAATTTTTTGTCCGCATTCTTTCGGCTTGCAATCTTTCGCTGGTCCAACAGTACTCATAATCGCGATCGCTGATACTCCTCGATTTTACAGCCGTACTTCCAACGTCATTGGCGAGGAAGTATTGTAATCGCGAAAAATTTCTAAAATGAGATGTAATGTTTTTTTAAGTCGTATGACATCTACATCACGAAAAACTGTATCACTCATCATCAACTTGGAAATTACCGCTCGGATTTTTATGAAATTTCCACACGGGGTTACTAGTATGCCAAAGCTTTGTAGTTTTAGTCCAGTGGCAACGGTGCTATAGGCAAAAAAGAAAAAGTAACAATTGCTGAAACGTTTTTGACGTTTCAGGGGTTCCTAATCATTGCATTAAAAAAATTGTACTGCTTAAAAAGGAGGGGTTGAAATCAGTGAAACACGTTCTATTACTAAGAAGCTTCTGATTCCAGTGATTACAGGAAATTTAAGTATCGAAAATCCGACGAATAATGTGCTTACGATTTGAAAAGATCGGTACCTGCTCTATAGGTTTGACACCAAGAGCCAACAGATCTGCAACTACCGACAGTAGGGAAGAATAAATTCGGATAATATCACTCCAGTCAAGTATAGGTGAATTTAGGGTGAAACTTTAAAATTATCGATATGTCAAGGAAATATGTTTTTGAGAACGATCATTTGGTAGATTTAATAAATGCATTTTCATTTGAATTTCATAACCCGTGACATGTACCCATTTCGCCGTTACCTTTTGTGTTCCTCAGTTTGTGATGTTTTTCTGGATATAAGCAGGACATAATTGCCTAGGGTGCTATCAGAGCTTTTCACAAAATTTTGTCTTTGCGCAAGAATTATGATGGGTTGAAATGCTTACTATTTGTGCTCAACTTCTTGATATTTTAAAAAAATCCTAGTGGATAAAATCGAAAAAGGGGATCGCTGGCACCTTGTGGACTTTGTTTTTAGCACGCATGCATGTGGTACATGGTAACAATTGAACGAGGGTCATAAAAATATCTTATGCCGTCAAAATAAGAGGAAACAGTTAGATAGTTTTTGCAAAGCAATAAACAGGTAGGCTTATACCTGGATTAAGTACATGTCTTGTCTATTGTAATAGGTAGATGGAGGTGATGCTGCCAGAAATGGATGTGTGCCATCAATAAACAAACTACAAGATTGAACTGCTGTGTCCAATGATTTTTGTATTACCTTACTAGAAAACACTGTTGGGTATATGATCGAGTTTACTAGAACTTTACAGCTTGTTGTCTGCCTTCTTCTACAAACTTCACCAATTCGAGACGCTGTCAACCCTAGCCTCCGATGAAGACGCCACAAAGCACAATCCTGTGATTTGGTGACTTGTTCGATATGCAAAATCTCGTCGTCACTTTTCTAAGTTTCCCTAAAAATTCTTGCTTAGCAACCTCCAAATCAATGTCGTTCATGTCAGGTTTTTGACAGAATTCGCCATAAAACTATTATATATTTTCTTTGGAATTGCTATCCGAATTGATAGTTATTTTTATATCAGCTTTTTTTGGTCAGAATTTCTTTCCAAGATTATTGCGTTTGAGTCTTTGTTCCATCTTAGTGATAAGCGAGGTTGGACTAAGCTTAGAACGCAAATGTATTTGGACCACATAGACAGGCCGCTAGGTACTGTGGCTCACTACAGCTGCAGCACATCTTCCATGGTATGACCTCTTCTTGCAATAATTTATTCGCTTACCCCAATGTATTTTGCGATTATACATTCGGTTTGCTCCACACTATTGTTGTCCCCATCATGAATTAAACTCACTGAATTCGTAATTAAAATTGTCGCATATGTCAACTATCAACCTGGATAAAAAATTTACTCAAGAACAATCACACCAACAAGAGTACAACACAACAATTCAACAACACAATATCGACGAACAGTAACAAGTGTAGAACAATACTAAATGATCACTTGCTAAGTACCAAAACAGGAAAACATCATGGTAACCGTATGTCAAAGCACTCCCGAAACTGAAGTGGTACTTTCCGAATCATATAGGGAACAAAAATGACCGTAAGCCGGCGAAGAGAGAGAGAGTGTGTGTGTGTGTGTGTGAGAGAGAGAGAGATCGATAAATAGAGACTGAAGGAAATCAGTGATATGGTTTTACGTGAATTGTAATTGTAACTGTAATTTAAACACATAATAAATACTCTTTTTAAAACTCCACAAAACATTGAACCCTGAATTGAAACGAAATCTGTCTATCTGTCCTGATAGCATTTGCAACAAAAGTTAATCAATTATAAACATAGAAGTTCATTTTCTTGACACATTGATACGTATTTCCAAACGGCATCATAATATTCTGCACCGATAATAAAGGACAATGTTTGGTAATTGGTCTCAACTACAGAGAAACTACCTTGAATTTCTAGCATTTTTACGACGATCGAAAATCGATCCAATCTAGATAGTCCAGTGGTTCCTAACCTTTTCAATGTCACTACCCCTGTGAACAAGTATGGGAATTGAGTTTACCCCTAGCCAATTTAAAATAATTAAAACCATCTTGGAGTTAACTAGTGTGAAGGTTGAAATTGCTTTGCATTCGCAAGTTTGACAATATTAGGTTCGGTTTCACTCAACGCGCATCTCATGTCATGCTCAACATTCAGACGGTTTCTGGCTTTTGTTTTTAATGTAACAAGAGTTGAGAAACCAGTTTCACATCTGTAAGTTGTAGCAAATGGAATCAACATTTTTAAAGCTCTGTCAGCTATAATGGGATATTCTGCAGCTGCTTTTCGCCAAAATGTGCTTAGTTTATCATTTTGAAAATCAACTTTCAATGAGTTATTCTCACGCAGCCCGAGAAACTCTACTTTCGCTGACACATCTTCGTCCTTGAAAATATCGACGCAAGTAGAAAATGGTCTTAAAATCCAGGAGTAGGACTCACGACTGTCCATGTTCGGAAAATATTGCTGCAGTGAGTCTATCACGGCAGTTAAATGTTGAACCACGGAATTTTCAAACGAGATTTTCTCTTGTTTATTATTTACTAATTGCTCACTTAGTTGTGTAAACATTGACACATCACCAGCTTGAACTCTGCGTTGGTAAAGTTCCAATTTGCGCAAAAAACTTGCGATTTTATCCTGCAACGTCAAAATATTCGTTTCATTTCCTTGCAGTGAAATATTCAGACTATTAATTTCAGTGAAAAAATCAGCAAGGTACGCCATTTTTAGAATAAATGTTTGGTCTTTAATTTTTGCATAATATTCTTTTTCTTTTTGTGTTCTCTGATTTTCAAAAAACAATCCAATTTCTTCTCGTAATTCGTAAACCCTACTTAGAACTTTGCCTCTTGATAACCAACGTACCTCTGTATGGTACAAAAGAGCATTAAATGTAGCACCAACTTCATCGCACAAAACTTTGAATAATCTTGAGTTAGTAGCGCTGCCTCGAATATGATTAACAATTTTTACTATGTCACTCAACGTGTTTAGCAAATCTGATGGAAGCGTTTTCACAGCCAAAGCGTAACGGTGTATCAAGCAATGATAGCCGAAAACTTGAGGAGCAACTTGCTTCACGAGTGCCTGAAAACCAGAACGGATGCCCATCATGGAAGGCGCCCCGCCCCGTCTGTACAAGTACCAATCAGCTTTAACCAGTCTAGGCCATTTTCCTCAATAAACTCTTTTAGCGTTTGAAATACGTCTTCGCCGCGAGTAGTAGTGGGCAAAGACTTGCAGAACAAATATTCCTCCTTTACATCATCATCTTTAATGTATCGTGTAAACACCAATAATTGTGAACACGAAGCAACATCTGTGGACTCGTCCAACTGCAGCGCAAACATATGACTTTCCTTTATTTCAGAAATAACGGTTGCTAGAATATCGGCACTCATTTCACATATGCGACTTTGAATAGTAGTGTTTGAGAGTGAGATTTGTTTAATCTTAGCTACATGTTGCTCACCAATAACAAGTGCTACTGCATCTAACAAGCAAGGTTTGATGAGGTCCTCTCCTATAGTGTGTGGTTTTTTATTACGTGCGATGCGATAAGCAATTTTGTATGAAGCTTGAAGGCATGATTCATTTGCTTTCTGTATATTGCCTGTTGAATCCATGCGGGAAGACTTCAGAATCCTCTCCTTTTTCTTAAAAAAATCTATATTTTTATCTGCGAACTCCTTGTGAACTTTAGCAAAATGTTCTTTTAATTTGCTCGGTTTCATGCTTTCTGGATTAAGCACTTTATTACATAAAACACACTGAGGCTTTTCTATATTTTTGTCTACGATGCTTGTGAAACCCCATTGTAGAAATGCTTCTTTATAAGTGCGCTTTTTGCCAGATGAAGTAGAAGCCATGTCAAAAACACCTGTAGGTACCTAAAACAAAAATCAACTAATACATACCTACGTAAACAAATCACTCGTGACAATATTAACGTGACGATATTAACAAACACTGCTTACCTTTGAATTTAAACCGTTTAAAAATACGATTTCTGCAATGCGCGGCGGAACAAATAAAATGCGTGTTCTTCCTAAGCTTAGGTAAACAAAATGAACATCGCCGCCTGTCCGGCCCGCCGCTAGTCATGCTTCACCCCTCCCACACCGCAGCTCACCCGCCGCCGTCTCCGTCAGCCGCGCGCATGAGAGCGCCGTGCTACCGTTTACCGTACTATTATTTTGTTTATTGCTATTTTAATACTATTTCGTGCCATCCCGTGTTACCCCCTTAGAATCTCCGTTTTACCCCTGCGGGGGTAATTACCCCCAGGTTAGGAACCACTGAGATAGTCCATTCGTGCCGCTTTTGTTACATAAGGCAAGATACAGTTGGCACGCTTCTGTCTGTCGGTGTATGTATGAATCGTAAGTACCGAGACGTAATGGTACTGTCACCTTGATGTCGGCCGTAATTGCCGTGACTCTACGGTCAGTACAGAGTACCGAGCTTGCTTCTGAACGGGCAGGAGGATCATCGAGCTAGGAAGGATTGTTGGCACATAGTCTGGCTGAACTTACAATATGAAGGATACAGGGGGAAAAAGAAGAATGTCACAAAAAGTTTTTAAAAAAGTGAATTTAAAAAATTGAAGACTCCTAGACTCGTTGTACAGGGTGGGTCAAAGATCTGACGGAGCACCATAGATTCCTTATTGAAAGAAATTGGAAAAAGTTCTGATATACAGGGTGGCCCAAAATGAAAGCAGACCAAACATTGTCTAATTGGAAATCCTTTTTATTTTTGTATTTTGAGTTTCTACTTAGGATTTTAAACATTTTTATGTGTTAGGGTTCATGCCTGAATTCAACTTTTTTGAGATATTTGGGCCTTTCGTCATATGCGAAACCCTGTAAGGGTTGATTAATCATCAAAATGCCTATCTTAGGTTTTACGGTCTGTTCTAATATGAGAACTACCTTAACAGGAAATTTATTTACACAGCGCCAAGAACATGAAATAAGGTCACTTTTTAACCTCCATAGCTCAAACTCAGTAGTATTTTTTAATTGAGATAGGGAAAAATAAGGAACCCAAAAATCTTTATTCAAAAGAATTATAGAACAGCAAAATTAACTGCTTAAAAATGATTACGTTTATTTCTTTCGTCGCAGATTGGTGTATCGCAAATTGTTTCGGTGATGATCAGTGGACGTTCATCTTTTTTTCATACAAAGGCTGTGACATTAATCTTTTTTCCCCTTCTCGGCAAGTTTTCAATAGGGTATAACTACGAACTGTCATTGTTTTTGCGTGTTTCCGATACCTCATTTGATTTTGCTGCGTTAAGACTACATGTTTCCTGTTTTAACTACAAAACACCAAAATTGTGACATTCATCTTCATATGTTAATATCAGTTGCTGGCATGAGTGAAATCAACCAAACCAACCAACTTTCAGAAATCCAGATAAATGTTTTTTATTTATTTTTATCATGTGTGGTCATAGTAGGCAATGACTACTTCGTTTTTGAAAATCGTTCAGATGGAAGCAGTAAGTGAAAACTAAAATAGCATTCAGATCGTTACAAAGTTTGTTTTTACATTCTTTAAAACTTGAAAGTGGAAATAAATCGCCAAATATACTAGGTCTCAAAATCTTCAACATCCTTCCAAAAGATATACAAGCAATAGCAATTCAAAATCACTTTATGTATTGTTTGAGAGGTTTTTTAATAGCTAAATGTTTGTTCAATGTCTGTGAGTTTATCAGTGTGTAAATGTTGTTGATTATCTTGTTTATTTATCGTTTTGTTATGTCTCTGTATATAGCTGCTCTATTGCCGATTTATATACAAACTTTGTATATAGAAAAATATAAACTATCATCATCATCATTATAGTCAAACATCTTTTTGGAGGTTAACATTTTTTAAAACTTCGAAAATTTTTTTCATCGCTTCCGAATGCTTCAGGTTAGAGCAGATTCAAAAACACTATGGAGCTCAACCGTTTTGTTACTATAGAAAGGCTCATCTTGACTCATAGAAAATTTGAGAATAGGCACAGAAGAATGCTGGGGAACAACCGACTCAATCTTCTTGCCACTATTTTTTTAGAAATGTTTTATTTCGACATCGATATTTTAATTATTTTTGATTTCGAAAAGTTTCTTTCAGCTGTTGAAGTTGTAACCTAGAGTGTTAAAAACAGGAAGCCTGCTACTATCACCTAGCCGTACAATCTACCTACCGACCAAAATTGGACCTAAATCGGATGTTCCAGGAACCAATTGTGCTATTAGGATTCAAGAAGGATGATTACTTAAATGAGGAGTTATACTCAAAATTACTTATTTGTCAAACTGCCAAAGTGAAATTTACAGTATACAATTTCAAATGTGATTTTACGGGTTAGTAGTGAAAAAACTATTTTCCTGGCACAAAAAAACATTAGATTGCAGTCAGTGCTATAAGTTCTTGCTTGCCAGATTATGACTTGCATATCCAAAAATTGTAACATTGATCTTTTGTGGTTAGTAGCGATTGAAAATAGTTTCTAACATTTTGATTTCCAGAATGTTTTTGGTAACTGAAATACGTGATCTTTGATGTTCCAATAATGGTTTATTTTAACTTGGATTCAGAAAGTGAAACTATTCTATACCGCAGTGTTTTTGTGGTGTAAGTACAATTGTTATAATATGTCAACATGTTTTAATAAAATGTTTCATACACCATCCTAAGTGCGTCTCATTCAAGTGAGAATATATACTAAGTGACATATAAATCCGAACACCCAGTTTAAATGGTTTTATTTTAATAAAAGTTGGTGAATGTATTTATCTTACTGTAAATAACAAGTGAAAAAATTTTCAGCCTTATCAGTTGGACATTCCGGTTTTTATACTGCTTTTTTTTAATTCACTAACGCTCTAAAAATGAATATTACAGCCGCAGTAAAGAATCAACGTTGGCGGATTTTGGTTCTTGACATCCTTTACGATCGGTTAAGATGCCTAGAGTACGGAGACCTGTACGATTTCGTCAACTTAGTTAGTTTGATAGGGGCCGTATAGTGGGACTTCGGGAAGCTGGACTTTCTTTTCGGGCAATCGCAGTTAGAGTGCAAAGAAGTGTAGACACTGTGGTTAGGTGTTGTCAGGCATGGCTTCGAGAAGGCCGTACGCAAAGAGCAAGGGGCACTGGACGCCGCCGTAGAACAACAGACCGTGAAGATCGCCGCCTAAGATTATTGGCCTTAAGGGACCGTTTCTCCATTACCAGGTCCATTGCAAATGAATGGTTTGCAGAACCCGGAAGACCTATTGCCATGCGAAGTTTTTACCGACGAATGAGAAGTTTTGGCTTGTTTTCATACCGACCATACTGGGTCCTCCCTCTAACTCGAGAACACCGACGTAATCGCCTTGAGTGGTGCAGACAACGGTCACTCTGGGATCAGGAATGGAACAGTATTGTCTTTAGTGACGAGTCTCGATTTTGTTTAGGCATGCACGATGGTCGTGCCAGGGTTAGAAGGCGACGTGGTGAAAGGAGGAATCCACAGTTTTTTGTTGAAAGACATGTTCATCACACTGTTGGAGTTATGGTTTGGGGTGCTATAGCTTATGGTTCCAGGTCACCTTTAATCTTCATCAGAGGTAACATGAACGCGCAGCGTTATATCCACGAAGTTCTAGAACCCCATCTTTTACCCTATCTTGACACCCTGGCAGATCCAACTTTCCAAAAAGATAATGCCCGACCACATGTTGCAAGAGTCACAATAGACTTCTTTCAACATAATGACGTCACATTGTTACCATGGCCAAGATCTCCCGACTTATCCCCAATTGAGCACGTGTGGGATATGATGGGTAGGAGATTGCTCAATTTGCAACGTCCTCCTCAGACTCTAGAAGCACTTCGAGAGGAGTTGGTGGTTGCCTGGAATGAGATACCACAGGAGGACATTGACCACCTGATCAGAAGCATGCCTAGGCGCGTTGGAGAATGCGTAGCACATCAGGGTGCATCCACACATTATTAAAGGTCAAAGGGCTTTAAAGCAGTGCAATCGTTTTGAAATTTTTATCATTTACTTATTATGCTTCATTAAGTACTTATACAAAATTTTATTAAAATAAAACCATTTAAACTGGGTGTTCGGATTTATATGTCACTTAGTATACAAAATAAAAATTTGTTAGTATCGATATAAATGTCTTTTCCAAATAATGTGCATGTTATCGAGTGTACTTTTATCTGACAAGATCTTGTTTAGCTCATTTTAGCCAATAGGTAGGTTGCACGAGAAATGCGAGCTGCCAAAAATTAGTTGTTCCGTTCAGTCTCTCTAGAAAAATTTTGCTGTAAAATGCGGTCCTTTACTACACCGTCACAGCTGATCAGATGATTGAAACGAATATACTCTATCGCCTTTCACAGAAACATCAATATTTCAGTGTGAATAATATTTGGTCGTTGTGGTGGTAGCGATGTCTTCTTTCTGTTTGTTAATAGGAGCGCTTGAGAATCTTCAATTTAGCGTACGGCCTAAGAATTTATGTTACGTTGATAAGCCTAAGCTCGAAACACTCTCTATCCTTCCTAGCTCGATGATCGCGCGCACCACCGTAAAACAACCGATGTTATTCGCTTCCCCCACCTGCATCAGCACAAGGCAGCAGCTTAATATCGCGGCAGTAGTGCATGTTATTGCACAAATATTAACTTTTCTTTCTTCAGTAAATAATCGCCACTACTAAATTACCTCGGTGCGACTAGCGTACCGTGCCATGTAGCTGTGAAAAATGAGCTAGCGCGCGAATCGTTCATTTTTTCCTAAAAAGTTTTTTCTTTGAACCAAGTTTGAAAATCATGGGATGTTTCCTATTCGTGTAGTGGTGAGTATAGCAATCACTTTTACTGTG